CACCAGACGGCTTCTTCGTAGACATAACGATTATTCGTATGATTCACGACCGTTCAGAGACGACGACGTACCAAAAGGTAGCTTTTCCACCTGACAACGCGACGCGCCGCGTTTCATCCAACGATTACGCTGCAGGGACGTCGTTGTCCTCCGTCACCGCAACATCCAATCTTTTCAATGAACTTCGATTTTCAGAGAAATAGTTTCTTTCTAAAGTCATTATTATTATTATTATTATTATTTACTATTGTTTATTATTTATTATATCATTATTATTATTTATTTACTATTGTTTATTATTTATTATATTATTATTATTTACTAAATATTGTTATGATAGTTTCTTTCTAAAGTCATTATTATTATTTATTTACTATTGTTTATTATTTATTATATTATTATTATTTACTAAATATTGTTATGATAGTTTCTTTCTAAAGTCATTATTATTATTTATTTACTATTGTTTATTATTTATTATATTATTATTATTTACTAATTATTGTTATGATAGTTCCTTTCTAAAGTCATTATTATTATTTATTTACTATTGTTTGTTATTTATTATATTATTATTATTTAATATTAAATTTATTAATAATATTAATAAATATTAATATAATATAATTAATAATATAATTATAATATATTATATTATATATATAATATAATATATTATATATATAATATAATATATTAATAAAATATATAATAATAATATAATAATAATATAATTAATATTAATAATATTAATAAATCTAATATTATTATTATTGTTTATTATTAATTATTTTCTTATTATTTGCAAATTATTGTTATGATAATTAACTAGATCCTTTTAAATCGTATAGACGCGCGCGCGTAACACACGTAATCCGGGACAAAATAAACATTACATAGAACAAGATTCGATGACAGATACGGTGGAATTGGTAATAGAATGGCACGGCGTGTTTCCGAAGTCCGGAGGATTCCCGCGCGTCTTACGAATCACCGCACGGCCGAATCACGTTACTCTTGCCTCGATCCTCGGTGCCAGCCGGTTACGTAAAAAGGAAATACGTCGGAATCGTTTCTTCCGCGCGCACCGCAACAAAACAAGAAGAAAAACGGGGAGAAGCGAACGAACGGGTCGTGGAATGCACGATAACTTATTATCGCGCTTTCACGATCGATGAAGTGTGCGCGCGTACAGTGCCGCTCAAAACTTAACGTGGACACTTGGTCGCTACGAGCGAGCGCTGTGAAACAGCTGTGAAATTAGCTGTAACCAGAATCGAAATCAAGATCGATCCAGTCGAGTAAACCGAAGAAAATGAAAAATAACTTTCGGACGCGATACACAAGCAAGCGGTGTGTATGGATAGCTTACGGTAGGAAAGTAATAGCCGCGTCGAATAAGGCAGAGTCCGATTTACATTGGTGGTCACGATATTGTCGCGGCCCGACCGCAGCCGGCTCGAACGTTATTAAATTCCGTGGAGCGTGACCTACGCGTGAACATTAGCCTATTCTAATAGCGTCGAATCGGATTCGAGCGGACCGTGACCGCAACCGTGTTACGGGCACGGGTACGAGCATTCCGCGCGCTATACTATATATTCTCTACCGGAGACCGACGACAGTGCAGGATCAGAGTTGGGCAAAATCTTATTCAGAGGATAAGAGATAAAGGATTAACGAGTCAAATTTTATTCGACGCTGTCGAATGAGCACGCGATCGAATAAAAAGTTATTCGAATAGGAATTCATTCAAATAAAAATATAGTTCTGTAGGAATTCGTTCAAATAATAATGTAGTTCTATAGGAATTCGTTCAAATAAAAATATTGTTTTATAGAAATACATCCAAATAAAAAGGTATTCCTACAGGAATTCGTTCAAATAAAAAGGTATTCCTACAGGAATTCGTTCAAATAAAAA